CGTCAATAACTTGCCAGTGAAGTATGTCTTAAACATATTTTTAAGAAAATTTGTTTTTTTTCTGTTTTTAAATTTTTACCAAATTCAACAAAAGTAAAATATTTCGTTGCCATTTCTTTCACAAGTGATGCACTTCTTCCACGTGCTAATATAGGTAATATCCTTAAATAATCAAACCCAACCAAGAATCTTACAGTTCATGAGTATCATGAGTTTCTGCATGTCTCCTTTGTTAAAAATGTTTCAATGATTTAACTTTGAAACAAAAAAGAATAATTGTCCAAAAGATCCAACACTGGAGTATTCAAGTTCAACTCCAATAAAGTCTTTACTTTAACTACATATACTGCAGTGGTTTAAAGGCCTCGCAGTTTTATGAGTTGCGTATAAACAAGTGGGAATGTTTTTTCCCATCCTCCCCTGCTGCAGAATCAAAGCCTGATCAATCACCATTCTATCTGAACAGTACTGCATGTTTAAAGTCAGCCAAACAAGAACAAACAAGGATTCGACTCGCAGTCTGGAGAGGTTTTTGTGCTGCTGTGCTGACCAAGTACTCAACATAGCATGGATGTGACAGATGATGTTACAGCTGTCAGCATCAGGCTCCAAATTGCCAATGCAATTTATCCATTTAGCAGGAATAGAATCCTTCCTGAATGTGCTGAAAAGACAATTTGATCAATGTTCTTTTTCTTGGTCTAGAATATAACATTTTATTGGCGTAGAACTGCCGGTAGGCATAAAATCTTCATAAAACTGCAGATTTTTGCCCAGTCAGACCCGTAAAACCAAGCAGCCAGAGCTGGCAAATCATTTGCTGCTTTTGGTGTTGCTAATTACTGTTTGTTAGGACTGCCTGCTGCTGGTTCCAGTTTTTAGTACCCTCTAGACAATTCCTTTGGAGTGTAAATCTGCTGAAAGGTCAAAAGACTAAAGAGCCATCAGTTGGGGGCATCCTGTGACTCAGACTTGGATTTAAAGTAAAAACAAATTGTTTCCAGATGCTATCTAATGATGCTTAGCTAATGGCTAATGATGCTTTCGCCTTCAAACTTTGATTAATTCTATATATATAGTCTATATATGTAAAAGCAGCACAGCTCATCGCCCTGAACAAACCATCCTCTCTGTGAAACATGGTGGTGGCAGCATCATGGTTTGGGCCTGCTTTTCTTCAGCAGGGATAGGGAAGATGGTTAAAACTGATGGGAAGAAGGATGGAACAAAATACAGAAGAAAACCTGTTGTTGTCTGTAAAACAACAACTGGGAAGAAGATTTATCTTCCAACAAGACAATGATTCCAAACATAAAGCAAAACCTACAATGGAATGGTTCACAAATGAACGTATCCAGGTGTTAGAATGGCCAAGTCAAAGTCCAGCCTCACTGAGCTCCAGCTGTTTGCCAGGAAGAATGGGCAAGAATTTCAGTCTCTCAATGTGCAAAACTGATGGACAAAACCAAGCGACTCGCAGCTGTAATTCAAAAGGTGGCGCTACAAAGTATTATCGCAAGGGGGCCGAATAATATTTCATGCTTTGTAGTTTTTTATTTGTTAAAAAAGTTTGAAATGTCCAATAAATTTTGTTCCACCTCATGATTGTTTCCCATTTGTTGATTCTTCACAAAATAATGAAACTTTTAGCTCTTTATGTTTGAAGCTTGAAAAGCGGAAAAAGGTTGAAAAGTTCCGTTCCATTCAACACAATTAGCAGTTCCATGATCCGACCAAACTCACTTAGTTCTTTCTATAAACATTAATGATGTCACAATTGGAAAAAAAGGTTTATTATCTCAAAATCTCAGAAATCGATATTTATTTTGAATGTCTTTTGCCAAAAGTCATAATAGGAAAAACTTAATACATAATTATGAAATTAATATTTTACGTTTTTTTGTGGGAGTGGAATAGAACGTTAATTGGTTCTTATTTTCTTTAGAATCATCATGATTTTTAAACAATTATTTCAGACTAGAGAGGAAGAAAACAGAACTCCTGATAAATTTCTTGTTACATTTTTGGTTCATAAAGTCACAAAATTCACAGTTTCTGTTAAAAAGGACATTTTAGTTATTAGTCTTTTTCAAATGTAGCATCAAGCCTTTTTTATAAGCCTATGTTTGCCCTTAACTTGATCTTTGGCACATCAGCTCCACTTTACACCAAGCTAACTTTTAGCTGTGTAAAAGAGATGGTTTTAGGAGTAAATAAAATCATTTCTCTAATTAGTCAAATGGCAGACTGTTCATTTGAATAGGGTTAGTACATTTTAATGTGTATTTTTTGCCATCTTGGAATTATGGCAAAGTTCACAGAGCAAGCTGTCTGTCGCAAAAAATGGAATAAAATCAATTTTCAAAAGCAGAGTGTGAACATAATCTGTGTTTCACTGAACAATTACATAGAATTTTCTGTATTCAGCAAGTCACAATGAAACACTTACCTACAACAAATATCTTAACAATGACAGGAAAGCAAAACTACTGTAACTGTATAGTATTTTGTACAGTTACAAAATACTTTGTAGTAAAACTACAACAAAACAACAATTTGTTTTGTTGTAGTTTTAAGTACCGCCATTTTGAATGTTGAAGTTACAATACAGAAGTACAGCAATAATTCTCACATTTTTGCTGCTTATAAACCTGCACACTTATGTTCACTTGACTGAATCCACACTTCACAGAGAGGCAGAAGGTTCACACTGAGCATTGGGACTAGGCCTAAGTCAGGGATGTCAAAGTCAAACACCGAGGGCCAAAACACCAAATTTGCTACAAGCTGAGGGCCGGACTGGTTCACCATTTATTAAAACATATTGAAATGATTGCACATAGCCTATTGAACCTATGTAGAATAAAGCAATATTTTGTTACAGATCTGTCAGTAATTTCAAGTGAAACCATTTTTCAACAGGCAAACAGACAAAAACAAACTTCCTTCAAAGAAAATTGCATGTTCTGTACATTGAAAGAACAAAGCAATATTTCATTATGACTATCAGTAACCTGAAGGGAAAACATTTTCAACAGCCAAACAGCAAAAACTTCCACTGTTATGAAAAACTAAATATATGAGCTCAAGATAAATACATAAATTGAAGTGCATGCACTATAAACTGAAAATGCATTATCATGCTGCTCTATGATATTCATATTCTTGTCTTTGTGTTTCTGAGAAGCTTGATAATGCCTTCTGAGATGATATTCTTTCATTGCAGACACACAGAAGACACACAGAAGACACACAGGCAGTGGTGGCATAGTTACTTTCATCAGATTACTGATTACTCCTTGAAAAAGTAACAGTTAGATTATTGACTACTTGATTTGGAAAGTAACTAAGTTACATTAAAAGTAACTATTTTAGTTACTGTCTGCAGCTGCTAACAACAACAACGCTCCGCCACCTGTGAACATCTTATTGATCTTTGCCAATACCTATTAGCAAGTTATTTTATGACAACAATGGCTGTTTTCACGTTTATTGCGCTGTTCATATTAGTTTTGATGTTTGTTATTTTCTGGAGCTTGACGTCATTCAGAGGTCATATGTCAACATGACATGAACAAAGACACAACGGGACTAAAACTGACTGCATGTCAGACAAATTCTGGCTTTATGTCGCTTATTAAGCCCAGAAACCGCAGTCAGCGACTTATTAAATCTACAAGAGACTTAAAACAAAAAAACAAGCTCAGAGCCGCTTATGATAAACACTGCCCCCTATGGGTTGGACATATTTAGAACTCGGTGAGCGAAACTCAACATAGTTCCTTGTCCCTCCATCGTTTGTCTCTGTGATCCTGTCAGACTCTCCAAGCCTCAAATCTAATCAATCACAGTAACGCAAAGTCATTTCGATAAGTAACTGTAGTCTGACGACCTGCTTTGAAATAGAAACGTTCGATTACTCATTACTGAAATAAGCGGTCTGACGTCAGTGACGCGTTACTGACGTCACTGCACACAGGTTTGCCTTTTAACTCTATGAACATGAACTCTGTCCTCAGCGTCACTAACCGTTGAGCCATTGTTGAGGAGGGAACCTGAAAGTTGATCTCTGCTCTCATTGCTGATGAAGCCGCTCGTGCTGCAGTGACTCCGCGGGCTACCGTTGCATTGTGGGAAATGTAGTGTTGGTGCGTGCAAAACGCCTGCGGGCCGCTTCTAATTGTAATGAAATAGCATCCTGGGGGCCATAGGTAATTAAGTCACGGGCCGGATCCGGTCCGCGGACCTTGACTTTGACATATGTGGCCGAAGTGACAATGACCTTATTATTTGATTCAGGTGTGTTGAAGTGGAGACATCTAAAGTTGCAGGAGACCGGCTCTGGAGGCCTGGAGTTGCTCACCCCTGATCTAAAGGGTGTTAGTTAGCCTGCCTTCACCAGTTTGATTGTGAAACTGTTGCCAGTTATGATTGTGCAAGAGTGCAGCAGTGTGTGTGTGTGTGTGTGTGTGTGTGTGTGTGTGTGTGTGTGTGTGTGTAAGCAGATAAAGAGGACAGAGGAAACCTATATTTCTATAACACATGTGACTATTGTTATTGTTTGGCACCTCTCTGATTACTGCTATCAGATATTTTTACAGCACCTCTTTTACTTGTTTTTTTTTTAAGCTCAACTGCTTAAATGTGTTGATTTGTAAAGAAGAGAGCGCTTGGAGATCAGCGGTTTTGCACCAGCTGTCCTTCTCAATGCGGAGCCACAATGCCTACACTGCCCCCTATGGGTTGGACATATTTAGAACAACACACAATAGTGTCATTCAGCGGGTTCATATGTAGGACCTGTTAAAAAACTGATCAGCTGTGTACGAGATTATTTTATAAAAACTAGTATTTCTGCTACGTGGTTTTAAAAAGACCCAGCTACACGTGGACAAGGCCTAAAATTCAATCTACCTTACAAGCGTTAAAAACGCGGATAAATTACAGAATAAATCTACAAACCGCTTGCCATACAATTAGTTCTCTCCGCAGCTGTGCAGCCTGTGCTCTGGGTGCTTTAGGCAGGGGACCCGCAGCAACAGGAGCTAAGGATTGTGGTCAGCTCCTGAACGCGTCATGACGGTGAGGGGATTGGACTGATTCGGACCTGCGTGCTTCTGCGGAACAGCAGGACTGCTTCTCTGAGCGGAACTCCACCTGAGTTCTGCTCGCGTTCCGGGCGGAGCAGCTGCCGCCTGCCTGGAAGCCACATGGACCGTTCCCGCGGCAGAGCGCGCTGCTAGCGGCTGGAAGGAGAACCGCGAGGCTGTGCAGACACCGAACCCGAGCTCCACGCGCCGCGTCATGCGCACAGACCACCTCGGTTGAGGATCCTCGTCGGGCTGAAGCATGTTCCTGACCTTCCTCCTCAGCTTCATCGTTCCTCCGGTATGGAGCGTTCACGTGTCGTGGGAAAACTGGACGTCCGCGCTGCGCAACGGAGGGGGTGAGTTCGAGCCGCCGACCTCCCAGCCGCACATCGTCTTCATCCTGGTGGATGATCAGGGCTTCCGGGATGTTGGATACCACGGCTCCGAGATCAAAACTCCGAACTTGGACCGGCTGGCCGCACAGGGAGTGAAGCTGGAGAATTACTACGTGCAGCCGCTCTGCAGCCCGTCCAGGAGCCAACTGATGACCGGCAGGTACAGAACCGACTGCACATGAACACTGAGAACACCTTCATTTTCAATTCATTGCTGAAGTAAAACTATGAAGGTAGAACTTGAAATTGATCTAAGGGATCAATTAGTTACTGTTTCTGTCGATGCATATCACATGAAAAAATATCGAGTATTTGTTTTTATCAAATCAGCCTCAAATACCCACAAAATTGAACAAACTCTAATCTTCACTTATTTACTTTATTATACCAAAGAAACTTTTTAAATGCCAAATAGAAAAAAATAAGAAGAAAAATCCCTCCAACTTTGATACTTCAATGTGATTTAAGAGGGTTAGAGTTAATGGGGGCCTTAATGGGGGCACTGACTTAATTTGAATTAAACTAAAGTGCAAATAATTAATATTCATTTCAATTGTATTTTTTGATTTGTTGTTTTTTTAAGACTAATTGTGGGTTTAAATAGTGCTTACTTGTGATGTTTTCCCATAACATATAATTAAGAATATATATATACATGTTAATGTATATATATATACATTAATATTTTCAAATTTCCTGTCTATTTAACATCTTTTAAAACAAAAACAGTGGGCTGCCATTGGACCGCCTCGGCACCCCGACCACCAAACTTAGCAAGTTTTCTGGGGGAAATCCTGCATATTGTTCTGAATATTTCCAAGCTGTCCAGGTTGGGAAACTTCCTGCATTTGCAACCAATTGCACAATGAGTGTGAATAATAATGTTGTAGTTATGAATATATACACTTCTCTGTTTGCAGGGGACCTTTGTACTTACCTCTTAATAGCTGTGTTTCCATTACAAATATGTTTCAATCTTTGTCTATATTTTATTAGTGTAAAAAAAATATATAATTTTGCAATTTTGTTGGTTTTATTAATAATGAGTTAAAATCACTCGTGAATGAGATTGTTCATGTGTTATGTCATTAAAAATCTTGGCAGCAATGGATGTACACATTTATGAAATATATTCATAATTCAGCCAGAGAGATAATTCTCATCAGCCATCAGAGCAGATGTCGGTGTCTTATTACAACATTGAAGTGCCAAGTAATAATATCCGGCTGTTGATTTGTGTGATGCAAAAAAAATGTTTCCATTGCGGTTTTGCAAATTACACCTATTTTGACACAGCCGAAGAACCACCTTATCCTAGCGCAAACCTTTTTATCAAAAAAACCGCTGTACTTCCATTAAAATTAATGGAAGTACAGCTATAGTTTCCATTGGAATTGTGGGAAATGAAGGACTTTGTGGTGAGAAATGTAGGCAATTGGTACGCTGGGCTATGAAATCTCAACCGTCCATGGATCGTACCCTCTCCAGTTTCATGTTTTTCCATAACTGCTCAACAATAAAAAATAATAAAAAAAGATCAGGGTGGAGTCAAAGGAGAAAATGAGTATAACAGCTCAAGAGGAAATTTTGGACAAAAAGAGAAAAAAGGTCACTAGTTTGACACTACACTGGATATTTACAAAAAAAAAAATCACTAATTCCTAATATTGGCTGACATGAATTCCTTATATTGTGGTAAGATTTTCAGCCATATGGCTCAGTATTAGCTTCATGTACTTAATAAAATCCAAAGTAAAGTAGAACTTGAAATCCCATCAAGACATGAACTGATAAGCATTCAGATACTGAGGCAGTTTTGTAGAGCAGCTGCTGTTGCTTCATGAGTCTGGGAACTGATTTCATGCCAGCTGCTTGAAGCCCCTTGAATTTCTTCATATTTAGTCCCATTCCAACCAGATTTGTAATAGTTTTTGATTTTTCATTATAGTTTACTCTTATTTTGTTGTGACTTTTTTTTATCGAATTCAGTTAGTTTTTAGTAATTATTATTTGTTAAATATTGTTTAGTTTTTATTAGTTGTAATTTCTTTTTTTTTTTTGGTACTTTGATATTTGGGTGCAAAATTTAATAAGGTCAATTACTGTATTGTGTTTATGTGTACATCTGTTCTAACCCCTCCCCAGGGCCAGTAAGGGTAAATTCTGGCACTGGGTGTAACACAAAAAGCAGTCAGGAAACAGCTGATGTCAGTAGTTTTATGGATGAATGAAAAAAAACAGTAACACAAAAGTTTTTCTCTGTAAAGACGGTTTGTGGTTTGTTTTGTTGCAACCTGAAGTGTGAAATTAACTTCAGTGGAGTTTGAAAACGGGATACGTGTTTATGTCTGGTTGAACGATGTGTGTGCCCAGTTGGTTCGTTTTTTTCTTTTGGGGGGATTTTTATTGTAATCCATATGGGGGCCCAGAAAATCTTTGGGAACCATTGACTTAGACAAACCAATATTTCCTGAATGAGTCATTTTTCCCTCTCTATCCCACTTATTTTTCCTTTTTTTATTAAAATTAAGGTTATATTGCCTCCTGGGTAATGGGTCAGGGGAGAGGGGGAAGACGTCGACCTGTGACAGCCGCACCAAGGACTGAGGCGTCCATGCATTGTTTGTTCTTTACCTCTGAAGTTCAGAAACAAAAGGTTCAACATTTTATTGTACATAAATGAAAATGCAACATAGACAAGCCACACTGGATTCCACATGTTTGGAAGGAGAACAATGAAATTCCTAAAGCACAAAACTCTGGGTGTGATTTAATGAACAGAGAGGAGAGATGAAGAGTTTATTTTCTTAAACTTATGTCTCCTCACATTGAGTCTAGATTTTAAAATGAAGACCTTGGTAAGTAATGTATTATCTGGGAGGCATGTTTTCTGTACAGTACAGTTATAGGGGATGTATGATGCAAAATTCACATTTAGCACATTTTTGTACTTCCATTTGGTGTTTACTGCTTCTAAAAACAAGTGCTTGAAAAACCCAACCTGCCATTTATTTGACAGTAAGTTTGTGTTTTTTGGTGTCTAGAAAATGAACTGTTTCAAAAATCTCCCATCAATCAACTGTCACTTGTCACCTAGCAACCCCAACTGACCCCAGCCCGACCCCTATCGACCCCCCATAAGCTTCTGTACATTTACTCATCTGGTTTTATCCGTGTATGGACGGTACAGGGGCTGCTGAAAGAGAAAAATGTTTTGTTGTTGACTTGGCATCCAGAAACCACTTGCTGTATTTTTGTTGGTTGAGCATGAGGCTCCACTTTAGCTTTTCAAAGATGTAAGGTGGTATAATTGTGCATCTGTCTGCAGTCATTTTCGCATGGAAGTATAAATGTTGCATGGCCAGCAGCAGCTCATTTGGATTTAAAGTGACACAAGGTCCTAAAACAGCTCATTGTGAAAGAAGCTCAAAATAGGCACAATTGATCAATTGATTTTTTGTTTGTAGGGCCCATAGAACACCCCAAGCTGTTCGCGGAAGCATAGTCGTTCACCTTTAACAGAAGGTAATCTTCATTTCACTGAAGGAGCTGCTGAATGGAGTGCAGAACAATAAGTATGTCAAAGCAAGAGTCGGACCTCAGAAATAGCAAGGAAATAACAAAGAGCTTTGCCAAAAAGAGGAGACAATCTGCTCTGGGGCTGGCCGATGAAATGCAGAGCTGCTTATCTGAACCACATGTAAAGAGGATGTGGAGCTTTTATAAACCAAGAGGTTGGAGGAGTAGAAAGTGAACTTAACAAGTGAACATGTAGAACTAACATGAATGCTTTGAAGATAATGATGTAATTTATTGGCAAAGTGGAACAGTGCTTGTGTAGATAAACTGGCGAGATGAGTGTGATTCCAGCTGCCTGCAGAGCGGAAGTGCTGACTCTGACATAAGATAAGGCACAGAAATGAGCCGCCAGCTGTTTCTCTGCCTCGTAGTCTCTTTGGGTTGACTACAAGATGAAGAAATGATGCAACAACGCTCAGCACTGGGCGACAGCTACCCTACCCTGCCATGGATACTTTTAAAAGAGCCATCCAAAATAGTCAAGTGAACATGTGGGGCTACTGCAGTAAAGGAAATATGATGTCTGAGGGCAGTGACTCAGATTGAATACATGAGTTTATAATCCTGTAAGTAAACAGTTGGGCCAGTCACTAGTATCAAGACACAATTCAAACGGCACAAAAAATGTCCTTCATACTATCCCTGACTCAGGCTGGGCATAGACTAACACAGTGCTCCCTTAGCTGGCTGAAAGAAGCATCATCCAACTAACTTTTGCTAAAAGAAAGATCATTTCCATTGTTTGGCAATATTTTCCATTAGAAACAACGTGGGGTATTTTCCCACCTGATAGACTGGTGGACTTGGCTTGATTGGTGACCAATGACTTCAATGAATCCTCATGACTGATTCTCTTCCTCATTCTCCCATCCACTTCATTGTCCTCTACATTCATATTTCAATGTCTATTTATGAACTCATAAAGCATTCTCTTTCCTCCACTGACCCTGATTGGCCCAGGACCATCAACTTACAAAATGTTATTCCCATAATCATGTGAAACTTCTCCTTTCCCCTGCTCTACATCCAGCGAGGTTTCCTGATGAGCCATGAAAGGTTATCACGTTCTCATCATCTTTGTGAATTACCTTTTGAGTAGTTGGTGGTAATAAGGACATGTAGAGGTTGGAACTAGCACATCTCAGAACAGAGACATTCCTCACCACAGATGGAAGGTTCCAGACTGACAGTCTTTGATTTTTTTTTTTGTTGAGTTTTTTGCTTCTGGTAAGGCCAAGGGGGATGGAGGCATTTACTATGTCAGAACTTAAATGTGTGTCCATCTTCTTTTTACTACATTAACTATTTTTTTGAGGGTGGGAATCCAAGAAATACAAAAACCACCTCAATTGTAAAAACTGAAAACATTTTTGTTTAATTTTGCCATTTCTATCAACCTTTCAGATACAATAAAAATGCAGATAAAAAAGCGTCGATGGAAGTTTATGTGACTGTCAAGACTCTGGCTTTTGAGCTGGGATTTTGTTTTTTGTGCTTTTCTGTTGAATAACTTTCATTCCAGTTCACTTTAGTTTAGCCCTTCATGTTCATTGTAGTTTCATGATCTGATGTTACTTATTT